TGTCAGAATGCCGGCTTTTGCCGGCATGTTTGCCCGCTCTGCTTTGACTCTCAGACACCCGATATTAAGGTATCAGGTGTCTTAAAAAGGTTAACCCTTTCATTAATGGATGCCTCTATACTGAGGCATCCATTAATGAATGGTAACCGCTGATTCTCAGCGGTTACCAGTCCTGTAATGCAGCAAATAACTCGTCACGTACAGTGTACGTGATGAGTCATTTGGTCCCTTTGTGGCGGGACGTACAGTGTACATCTCTCGTCACGAAGGGGTTAAATGATGTCTCTTATTCCGATCTTCTTCTTTCCTGATGTTTTCATCTGTCCCTCCAGCGGTGCGGCGGCTCTCTGATCCAGCCCTGACTCCTCCAAGAATCCGAGCAGCGCATGCGCCCGCCCCAAGATCCAAAGGGACAAAGGGACCAAATGACTCGTCACGTACAATGTACGTGACGAGTTATTTGCTGCATTACAGGACTGGTAACTTGCTAGCAGTAGATATAGGCAAAAAACACGGAGGCTTTGGAACCCCTTTAAGTACCAAGACATTTTATTTTTTAACCTTTTGAACCGAGGGAATACCCACCTTCCATGCCCTTGCCAATGTTTGTTTAGCAGCTGTAAAAATATAGCTTACTAGTGTAAATTGGTCTCTCGTACATCCTTCTGGCTTTAAATTTAACAACGATTCCCATTGATCTTTCCTGATCTCCCTTTCCAATACTCTGTTAATGATTTTATATATTTCCGACCATAAACTCTGGATTCTTGGACACTTCCACCATACATGGGCCATCATGATTTCTTCCCAGCACCCCCGGAAACATTGCAAAGATGAATTTATTGAAAAATTAGCCAGTTTTGTGGGGACCATATACCATCTAAACCAGGGGTCTCAAACCTCCGGCCCTCCAGCTGTGGTGAAACTATAAATCCCATGATGCATCTCTCTTTGGGAGTCTTGTCTATGGCTGTGAAAATCTTGCAATGCCTCATGGGATTTGTAGTTCCACCACAGCTGGAGGGCCGGGGGTTTGAGACCCCTGATCTAAACAATAGCTTGTAATTGGCCTCTACCGCCAATGATTTCTTTGAGCAGTGGGCTACTGTATCCCATATCTGTCACCATTCTCTGTCTTGTAGTTGACTTCCTAATTCATTCTCCCAAGCTGTCACAAACTTTAACTGCCGAGTATCAAATCCCTCTGTCAAAGATTTATAGATATTCAAGAGACTGCCTCTTCCAATATACTTTTTCTCCAAATTTGAATTCAGATGGTACTTATACAATGTATAATACCGAATCGATAAAACTTTTAATTTGTAACTATCAAAATACTTCTGCAGGTGGAAGTTTATACTTTGCCTGTATTTCAGAGAAGGGTATGATTCCAGTTGGAGCAAAATTTTACAGGTTCATCAGCCTGGGAGAAATGATGGATTATTTATAATTGTTGCCAAAGGCATATGTGAAGACATTAATCTACCTGAGTATCTTACATCTCTCCAGACTACCAATAAATGTTTTAGTACTAGATTTATAATCTGATTTATATTTATTGTAGGGATCCATAAAAGGGTTTCTATATCGATAATTAATTTAATTTAATAGTTTAAATTAATTTAATAGTTATTAACATCAGAGCTTCCATTGCAAAAAAAACAACATTTTAAGACCACAGAGTTCATAGTCCTCCTTTACATTGTTTTGACCCTTCTAAATATCTTTAAAGCGGACCTTTACCCATATTTTTCAAATAACAGCAAATACACCTTTAGAAATGTTTAGTAATGACAATCTACACACACATACTTCTAGATAATTGCCGGCTTTGTATTCTTTGCATACCTTATTTCTCTTTTCTATCCCAGTCTTCTGACAGCGGCCATGTTTACTAAGGGCAGATTACTAGCTCTCCTTTTACTTCCTGGATTTCTGGCACATGTGACTAGACATGTGACTAGGACTTGTGACCATGCACATCATCTCAGGGGAGGAAAATGCCTTTTCCTGAGATCTCATGAGATCTCATGAGATTACAGATGAGATTTCCCAGCAAAGCTCTGCTGATGACAAGGCAATCTCTCTGTGCATTGCTTTTGCAAACTGAAGTCATTTTGCCCTTTCAAAGGAAGAAGTAAATGCTCTGCAAGTGTAAGTATTTCAAAATCACAGCATTTCACACCTGACGTGTCTATGCTATTATTAATCATCATACATAGAGGGATGCAGTGAAATAATTAAATGTTTTAGTCTAAAGGCCCACTTTAATCATGACTACTTTGTCGTTGTGGCACTACTACTGACATAAAAAGCAAGAAGAGAAGCAAAGAAAAAATATATGACTAGAATGTCGAAACAATCTGGAAATGCTTCTGAGACTCTGAGATTAGTTTAGAAAGCGCTGTATATTTGTTATGTTTTGCACATGTTACCGCATTTACATTAACATAAATATATATGTATATACTATATATATATATATATATATACAGTATAAACACACACACATCTTTCTATTTTTAATTTCAACTATATTTACAAGAGTGAAAAAACTTTCAGTGTTTTACAAGGGGCCCCATTCATCTGAGAACATGAGAACAGAGTTTAGCACTCTGTCCCAGAAAACACAGTTATATTGTTGAATGTTCTAAAAATCATTAATTAACCATCTTTTTATAGAAACACATCTAAAAATAACCCACCTTACTTGTATGCAAGTAAATATGAGGCCTTTGAATATGCTGCTATTATTGCCTCAAGGTTTATAATTCTGAACATCCCTTGACCATCCAGTGAAAAGCATTCTTATGCAGGGGCTCTAGTGTTCCAATGTCCTTTCACTACATCTGGTTCGAGTGAGTTCAGTAGTTCAGCTCTCACATACCTATTTAGTTCTATGAACAAAGACCCAGCAAAGGTTATTGAGTTTGGTAGCTAAAAATGTTAAATGAGCTCTATGTTTATGCAGAATTCAGATGGAAATAGTCTTTAAAGTGTTTTCACCAAGAGTCCTTAACTATTTTTAGCAATTGTAGCAATAAACTATATACACCTCCAAATACCCAGAGCTTTAGAGAAATGTTCTTGTTTAAGGATAAAAGTAGACTTCAGAAAGAAGGATTGACTGTGAGGAGAATATGTGCATGGTGATTGTTATGATTGATTGCCAAGTTATAAAACAGCTTGTATTTTTAATGATGGTTTAATTAGATTACACAGAATCCAACGGTCTGGCAAACAAGCTACAATCCAGAAGTCTGCATGCACTTCCTTATCACAAGTGAGTGATGTCAGCAGAATGGATTAAACTGGGTGCACAGAGTGCATGTAAATATGAGAAGTGCAGGCCACACACAGTTTGCTAGTTCATAGTATTCACTAGTATAGAAAGACCTTGCTAAAAATAATGTAATATATTGGAACTCTCTCCTTTTCTGTTATCTTTAATTAAGTGAAAACCCGCCATCATTTTTAGATGTTGTACTAATGGCTGGCATTTTTATTTCCTGTGTAAATATTCACAGATCAATTGAGTCATCATTGCTTATAAGGTATTGGCATAATAATTTTAATCAATGATAAATTTTGCTCAGTGGTGAAATGTTTATTTTTTTCCTCTTGCTGACACTAGTCTGAGTTCTGTCATTATGTTATGATCACTATATTTAGAAGCAGTTTTTACTTTAATGTGGCCAACTAGGCTTAAAATAGTATTAGACGCTCAAACTTTTTTCAATAATTAATCCAGATCAAACAAATTATGTTTTCCTTCCCTAATATAAAAAAATGATCAGTATGAAATAACTGAACACAGTATGCAATAACATGCTCTAAGCTGTGCACGCTATTATTTTTTTAGTTGCATTTTTGTATTGGTGTGTTATAGAAACATGTCATATAAAAAGACTACATGAAGACATTATATTTTACCAAATCAAATACTAGTGTGTTCCACATTGTTTGGTAAAAGGGTTCATTGTATGGCTTTGTCAACCCTTTTTTGAAGGATGTTGCATGAACTGTAAGAAGTGCACTTGAACATCAGACTATTGAACTGGTCCATCTTTTTAATTAGCAAAGGACAAACCAAGTCTTACTATCCTGGTGTAAACATTCTTCTTTATTTTCAAACACTTTAAAGCTCTTCCCCTTAAAACTCCTAACCAATGATTTACAAGAGTACTGTATACCCTTTTCTTGAACTGTCTCATATATAGACACAATTTTATCTTGTGCTCCCATACACTTTACTGATTCATACTCTACATAAGCCTCTCTATCACATTTTGTTCTCTTAGCATATTCAGCACTATAGCTAGATTAATGTAATTAAGTTTGTTGAGTAATTAAACCTGCAATGAAGACTTTTTCACTTCTGTTGCCACTTAGCATGCCTGAGGTTTTAATACAGAAGGCATTTTTTCACACACCACCTAAATGTGTTGCCTTAGCTAAAAGACCTCTGCCTTTTTGTAACATTCCAGGTCCTGTTGACTTGCCTGGCATTGGAAGCTTCCTTAATATCCTTTGGAATGGAGGGTTACAAAATCAACATGAAGTTATGGTAAATATAACATATAAGCACTTGCTTTTACAACTAACTTATATTACCACTTCTGTAATTGAAATATCATATTATGTTTCTACTGCTATACTTCTACTTTTTCTACTGCTACTACTATTACTATTGCTACTACTGTTACTACTACTACTATGGTTAGTACTAATACAAATATTGATATGAACATAAGACATGAGTCAAAATAACATAGTATGTTTAATTACTGTTAATTTAATGTGAATGTTATAAATATTATCAGTTAAAGTTGCAGACACTAAAATTATTGTTTTGTCACTCTTCAGTTAAAATATCATCAACAATTTGGAAGTATTTTTAGGATGAATCTTGGATTTTTTAAGTCAGTGCAAATTGGAGACCCAACTTTAGTAGAAACTCTCCTAAGAAAAGAAACAATGTATCCAAAGCGAATGGAGATTAAACCCTGGAGAATGTATAGAGAGCATAGAGGAGAAGAGTATGGTCTGCTTACACAGTAAGTGCTCATTGTTTTTTTGTATGGGAATGTGTCAAATAAAATTATTTTGTTCTATAGCACACTTTATTTAAAAATGAATTTGCACATAATGTGCTATTTACTACACATATATACATACACATTCTACTAAATATAAGATTTTCTCTTACACAATGATCTATTAAATTAAGTTTATCCTTAGAGAAACAAGACAGTTGTAATCAAATCTATTTTGAAATTGCTAGTTGCCTGGCTGACATGCTGAACCTCCATCTTAACAACTCACTGGATAACTTGCTGAAACAAGTCAACACCCCTCACCAGCATACTCCTTGTGTCATTGACTTATTAGATTGCTAGTCAAGCCACTTTTGATCATATGTAGCAATCCTTAGCTCTAGTTAGTGTGCTGTACCTTTTACAATATTGCTCTTCAGTCACCATTAATGATATACCAGTATATAAATGTCAGTTCCAGTTGTATATGAAATGCTTTTAGTATACTATTTAATGATATTGTAACCATTTATTTTTATAAATGAATGTTTTTATTGCATGTATGCAAGGCTTCTTTATTAAACTGGTGCCTTCCCATTTTCTTTAAGCTGTCAAAATATCCCAGTTTTGTTATTTAGATACATTTAAGAAATGGAGTGCACCAGTTTGTAGCCACAATAAGTATTATTTAAAAAATTGCACTTATATTTTGGAAACAAGGAAAGCAAAAAAGTGTATCTTTATAGTTTACACTACAAGTTGGGGTAAGGTATCCTCCCTGATCACCACTAAGAAAAACTGCTATGTATTATTTTAGAGATAAGCACCCCCAATCTCCACCACCACGCCACCTCCAGGTTTACTGGTGGAAAAACTATACTGCCAGATTTTCTTCTACCAGTAGATAACAATGACATTTGTGCATTTTGGGTCTCTAACCTTTACTTAGTTTAGCAGTAGTGTCAACCCTACCAGCTTACAGTGTTACATCACTAGAGGGCATACTAGCTAGTGGGAGGAACCACAGCAATGGTTAACTACCTGCAGCAGCAGAGGAGAAGCAAAGTGGAGGCATTTCAAGATACAGGAAGTTAAGTATATTGCCTCTTCTTTTACAGTGCACCAGTTCAGAAAAAGTGGACTTATAAGAAGCCTCTGATTATACGAAGTTACACAAACAGACATCTTAAGCATTATATTCTACACAAAATGCATTTTAAGCAATGCACAGATCCATGAACTAAATATAGAAATTAACCATGTAAGTGATGGTGACATATTATACATACCGGCAAAGGTGGTTTTAAATATTGTGATTTACAGTGCCATTGAGGGGATGATTTCCAGGGACCTATTCAACACTAGGGATTGCACACTCCATATATGTGTGTTTGTTCCATTTTCTTTTTTCCCAACAATTCATCTGATGATCCTCCACCCATTGAAAAAGGCAAGCTGCACTATCTCTTTTCAAAGTGAACTGCATCTTTAAATGTATCTCTGCATCAGAATAAGAACAATTGCAAAGTTTTTAAAGATCTCTAGTACACTCAATCTGCTTTTGGTCAATTAAATGTTGTGTAAAAGCACTGAAATTGTTTTCATTATGAGTGGTGTTTTCTTTTTAAAACCAAGCTGCTCTCTGCAGAAATAATAATAAATTGTTGCTACCATGTGTACAGTTTGAAGAAGAGTTATGTGTATCATAAGTATTTATATATTTTACTTTACAGTGAAGGAGAAGAATGGCATAACATGAGAAAAATTGTGCAAGCTCACCTCATGAAACCTAAAGAAATATCAAAAATGGATGTAAAGATTAATGAGGTATTTAACTTATCCTAAATTATGTACACACCATAGGGAAACAAGGCTGACTTTGATATTATGATTTTCTAAAAGGCCAAAGGGCATCTAAATTATTTTGATTTTGGTAGCAAGTTATAAATCATGGAAAATACATGAACATAGTGCCACTGGCACTCTTGCTTGAAAATCCACCTTGAAAAAATATAAACTTTTTCTTCATATGACTGACTAGTTCAAGTGAGTGAATGTTTATTTCTCATTCTATACACATAGCTTGTTTTGTATCACACTTTTTAGGTACTGGAAGATTTTATTAAGTACATTAGCCAAATATGTGACCAAGATGGGAAAATTGATGATTTGTACCTTGAACTAAACAAGCTTTCATATGAAAGTAAGTAAAGTAAAAAAACGTTTTGGTAAGTTGTTTGCACTTGTAAATGATGTAAGTAATGGTTATGTCCCTTTGCAGTAATTTGTTCAGTCTTGTACAATGAGAGATGTGGACTTCTCCAAGAATCCTGTACAGAAGATGCCTTGACTTACATACAATCAGTAAAAAAGGTACAAAACTTGAATTTACAGCTTACGTTTCTTTCCGAACTTGTACCCGTTTATTTTAAAAGGATTAAATTTTTTTAAGCATATCAATACATTGATTTAATTTTTTTTTAAATTGATATGAGTTTGAACAGTCAAGAGATAAACTTAGAGGGTTATTCACAAAGCTGCCGAAGGCAGCCGTGTGAATAACCGACCCGAAGTGAAATGAGCCGAACTCCGTTCGGCTATTCATTTCAGCCGTACACCGACTGAAATCAGCCGTACACCGACTGAAATCAGCCGTACATCGGCTTGCTGTGGCTGGGTTCGGGTCGGCCGAACATGCTGTGCATGTTTGGCTGACCCAAAGGGCAGAAGGAGTTCGACTCAGCTGATCCAACATCTGGATTGGCTGAGCCGAACCTCCGGCAGGCTACTCGCTGCTGTTCGGCCTATTCTCATAGGGGCCGAACAGCAGTGAGTAAATAGTCGAATGCTGCCGAGCGGCATTCGGCTCAGCTATTCTGCTCGGTACCTCTGCGGTACCTCTGCGGTACCGAGCAGAATAGAAAAACAGTTTAAAAAAGTAGAAAAAAGAATAGAAAACGATTAAGCGGAGCTAGCAGTGACAGCTAGCTCCACCTAACTGTTTTCTATTGGCCTGGACCAGCTGTCATTGCAATGAGAGCTTGTTGGAGTCGGCGGTCATATCAAAGCTGGCTCTGCTAAGCTCTCATCATGATGACAGATCAGCGTCCCTGGTTACCTAGTAACCAGGCTGGCTCCGACAAGCTCTCATGACAGTTCAGCGTCCCCTGGTCACTAGGTAACCAGGGGACGCTAAACTGTCATTACACACTGAGAACTCGGCGGAGTACCTCGTAACCAGGGGACGCTGATCTGTCTTTGCAAGTGGCCGGAGCCATCCGTGAGATGACGGCTGGCTCCGCCCAGCTGTCAGTAGCAGGCCGTTCGGCCAGCTTCGGCTTTCACCTCGGTTCAGTCGAGCATATGCTTTCGGCTTGACTGAGCTGCTTGGCCAACCTCGGGAGCTGTACAGGCTATAGTGAATAGCCCGTGCAGCGGCCCTTCGGTTCTACTGAACCGAAGGGGTCCTTGGGCCGAAGCTAGCCGAAGGATCAGCCGAAGCTACGGCTACATCCTTCGGCAGCTTTGTGAATAACCCTCTTAGAGTGCTAAAAAGGTAACTGAACCCAATGCCAAAGAAATGTATATATGGCTTTCTGTGTTGGTGCGACTTACCACTCCTTAGATGTGTTGACTGCATTCGTTTTCTATTTCCAGGATTTCTTCCTTTATTTTCACTTGTTGATCCTGTAAGTAACACACTTACTGACCTAGGATGACACTGCTCCATCTATGGATATATGTATGCTCTATGGATATGGGCAGTGTTGTCATCCTAGGACAGGATTAAAAAACTTTATCTGTACTTAATGTGGCTCTTTTTAGTCCTCCATCTGCTTTTGCTTCTGAAATTCCCTTTCTACTGTTCTGTCCCTTGATATGCTTGCTGAATAGAAGCACCATAGCATGTCCCTCTTATTGACAAGTAGAACTATAGCCATGCTATGGACATTCTAATAATTCCATTTTCTCAACAAGCAGTAACTAACCTTTAAAGCACAAGTAAATTCTCCCCCCCCCCCCCCAAAAAAAGGACAACCAAGACCTTTAGCCATAATAAACTAGTATGCACATCACATTGGCACATTATGGCAGTCTCACCCTTCAAAGTGATCACCTCCTGCAATGTCCACACTCCCCTCCCTCACCAATGCTCCCATCTTTCTCCCAGCCTTTGATTAGCTCGTCCTAGATGGCATAATATATGCATGGGAGCTACCTCCTCTTGGCAAACAATCCTGCCAAGATTCTGAGCTGAACTGTGCTAAGTGTACACAAAAAAAGTGCAGGAAGAATGATCTATGACAGAAGAGACGTACACATTCTCTTCTGTCATAAAAACCTGCCTGTTACCCCAAAAAAAACTTTATTTCCACATTAAATCAAGCAGTCACTGACCTATGTAGCTGCAGCCAATGTGAAGTAATTTATGTTCAAAGTTTACAGCCATTTTACTTTGTTGGCAACTCAGCAGTCTTCTAATCTCTAATGTAAACAAATAGCAGATACACAGGAAGAAGGGAGAGAGAAAAGTGCAGGGAACCAACTTCACAGCTTCTATAGTAAACTTTGAGGATGAACTGCTCCACATTGGCTATAACTGCATATGTCAGTGAGGGCTTATTGCTTGCTAAGAATATGTAAATATTTGAATGTCCAAAGCCTGACCACAGTTCTAGTTTAAAGTTGTAGCTGCTACGTTATGGTTTTAAGTAAATGGGAGCTTGGGGTACTTTCAAAAACTTTTAAATCCTTAATGTGAGCTTCACTGGGGCATAAGAAAAATGGAAAGTGATCTGGATCATGACAATGTTTACAAGAATATGTAATGATATTAGTTTAATTTTGTAAAACTTATATCAGCTAGGTAAATATAAATGTTGTTCTGCTTTCACAGATGATGCAGTATTTAGGCCCTCTGATTGTAACCTCAGCAGATCTTCACAAACAATTTAACACAAAATCATGGCAAAAACATACAGAAGCTTGGGATTATATATTTTCAACAGGTATTCAATTATCATACTTTACAATTGGACTAACACATGATTGTAGGTATCTTTTTTTAAAGTCTACCCTCTTACTTTGTAGTTGGCAGAATCCCCACCACCTTCTAGGGAGTCTCTTACTTAGTGCAACCAAGATTCCATCCCAGGCTGCCATTGATAAACTTTTGTAAGTGGTGTTAGTTCCAGTACAGACAGATTGGTGTTCATGATGCTGCAGTAGTGTGCTAGCACCACTTTAAAGAATCAAATAATAACAACATACAGTGTTGGATGGGGCCAAAGCTGTAACAGGTGACAGGCATCCATACAGATTCCCACATGCAAGTATGGTATCATGTACTGAACAAATTCCCACTAGAAAACCTAAAAACTACAGTCCTTGTTGTACAGACATTGTGAAGGATAGTAGTCCAGAAGACATAAATCCAGGTTTTCAAAGGCATTGTTTTAAGAGTTATGGGTCAATGTTTATAGAAAACCTTTAAATTATTCCTTGACTCTTAAAGCAACTCGCTTTTTCTCTAGATGGTGAGAGTTCTCACCAGTTCAAATTGAATACAGCCACTTTGGATGTACAGTATAATGTTATTCCATGACTTGTTTCTAAGCGTAAAAAAATATGCGAGACAGTAGAGGAAATCCTCAAAGAAGAGAGTAAGAAAGCATTAGCTAAAGCTATTAGTCATTAAACAGTAGTAAACATTTTCAGTAGTCATCATGGCAGCACAATTCATAAAGGAAGTACGCATGGTTAAGTTATCACCATGTGATAAGCAGGATGTACTGCTAGGATGCCTTAATGGCAAGCATTTTTACTACTTAGTAGAGCACCATTTTGCTGTTATGACCTGCTGCAAATGAGATGCATAGTCAGGCCCCAGCTTCTGAGAGCCTTCCTGAGGAATCTTAGCTTCCAATTCAGTAAAATTATTTGGTTTGTGTGTTGCAACTGCCTTCTTCAAATCCCACTAGAGATTTTCTATGGGGTTTTAAGTCAGGTGACTGCGATGGCCGCTGTAGAATCTTCCAGGACTTCTTCCGCTACCAAACCTTGGTGAAATTTAAGGTTTGCTGGGGATCACTGTCCTGTTGGAAGGTCCAATGACCCTCCGAACCTTCAGCTTCCTCATGACGTTTTCTCCTAGGATTCACTGATACTTCAATGAATCCAACTTGCCTTCCATACCCTGCAGGTTTTTAGTGCCAGAGAATGCAAAGCAGCCTCAGAGCATTACTGAGCCACCACCATGCTTAACTGTAGACACAGGACATTCTTTTCAGCATATGCTTCATTCCTCCTTGCCCAGACATATTGTGAAGCGGACCGCCTCAGGACTCCAAAGTCGCACTGCGCAGGCAAAACCTCTGTGGTTTATGTATATGATTTTGAGCAAATTTGAGCCAATTTTGGCCCTGGAGTTCTGGCATGGAAACATTCTAAGCATTACTGTGCAAACTGAAACCTCACTGCTTGACTATTGCCACTAAATCTTGCTGCAGGTCTAGAGGGTTTTTCTCAACCTGCTCTCAGATGTGGGCTCTAGTGAGGGATTCTACAGTATTCAGAGGGTTGCATGATTTTGAGACTGCAGAAGTCTAGTCAAGTTGCATTTTCAGTTGAATTTGGGAAAACCACTTGAAACATTTGTTGTGTTGACCTATTGCTTTTGTGTGATTTGTTCATTGCAAGCAGCCAAAGGTTTGTACATTTTGCCAATAAACCTGATTTGCAATGAAGGGGGTTGAATAATTTTCATTGTAACTGTATATACAGTATATATACAATATGTGTATATATATACACATATATATATTGTTGACCTTCATAATTGGGGAGATGTCCCATCATTTTCTGTACCAAAAATACAACTAAAAGTGATGGGAAATCTCTAAAAAGTGGTGAATTAGACAGTTGCTAATGGAACAGATGCTGTCAATGAAAGATTTACTCTCATCTCTTGTTCTGGTAACCACCTAAAACACTGGATTTCCCATCACTTTTTGTCTTAGTGACAATTGTCAAAGAACAAGGGTGAATTTATCTAGCCAGCACCCAGAGAATCCTGGCATAGGTCCATACCTACCCTAGCCAAAACTAAAAAAACAAACAAAAACTTTAGCTATATGTACACATTAATGCTTTGTATAAATGTAAAACAAAAGTTTTTATTGTGTAAAGTATAAATAAATGTTATGTTTTTATACTGTATATAATAACATAGGTAAAATGTACATTCCTTTTAAGGAGGTAATTTCATCAAACCTAAATATGACATTTCTATTTTTATATCTCCCCTTTTTTACCAGCAACATACTTTATTAATAAGAGATTAAAATCCAGCCCTGCATGGAATAATGATTTACTTAACACAATATCTTCCAATCATCCTCTCACCAAGAAACAGCTGTCTGGTCTTTTTACCGAACTGCAGATTGGAGGTGTAGAAACTGTACGTTTTCTTTATGTATCTAAATGTGTATGCTCATACAGTATAATAATGTTGAATATTTATAAAACAGTGTAGCCAGTCAAGCATAATACAAAAGAAAAGTTCTCAAGCAGATTGAATATGATCCTTATCGCCAACTTGTGGTCACAATGCAGTACTTTCCCCATTCACTCTGTTCTGTATGAATGAACCTATTAAAGAACATTCAGCCAAAAGAGAAATTAAACTACAGACATTTGTAAACACAATCAATTTAATTTACATACTTGCAGTTTTCTGGACAATTAAGTTATGCAATTTTTTATATATATAAATTCAAATTTGCCTTCTATATTAACTCTAATGCGTTGCTCCATGAATGGTCAGTTTTTTGGCAAATTCTCCTGATTTTCACTGAAATTTTAGTTTAAGGAAAACTTTACATTTTGTGCAACTCTAATATCAATACGTGAACACTGCACTATTGGAACATTGGCATGAACAGTATTTTCAAACTACAAACATATATTTAAAATATTCTTGCAAAATAAAGCATTCATACAATATGTGCAGAATTAAGCTTTATAATCAATTTGGACTGTTTCCTATTTTTTTTTACATTTAGACAGCAAATGCTCTATTATGGTTGATATACAATTTATCAAGGCACAGTAAAGTGCAGGAAAAAGTTCTAGCTGAAATCCGGACTATATTACCACCAGGACAGTCACCATCTGCTGATCATTTGCAAAATATGCCATATCTAAAGGCTTGCATTAAAGAATCTATGAGGTTATTATTATTTTTACTTATTTTATACTGCTGTTTCTTCCTGTCCCATTGAGTCTGTCCTGTGTGCACACTCCTAGCTGCGTACATGCACTTCTTCTGAGTCTCTCATCTTCCATCACGGCCGTTTAGGACCTGTGTATTGCAGCCGAAGAGCGAGCGGCGCAGACTTTAAAGAAGACTTTAATGCTACTTTAACAATGAAGAAAATTATTTTACTGTAAAATTACTGATTTTCCCATTAGCAAAATTGCCATGAAATATTTAGATTAATGAGGAGTCATTTTTTGGCTAAAGCAAAGGTCCAAGATAGAACAGTGGAGCTTCCCTATCCTTCAGAAATCATGTAAAGCCTGCTGCAGCCTTAATAAATAAAAAAAACCTTAATTTCACATTCTCCTTTGACCCAAAACATTTCACCAAAAGGGTGACATTTTACTAAAATGGTGAAATTTCACCAAAATCTCATGATTTTTGCTGACATTCCTGGGAAATTTAGAGGTCTATTCACAAAGCTGCCGAAGGATCCAGCCGTAGCTTCGGCTGATCCTTCGGCCCCAGGACCCCTTTGGTTCAGTAGAACCGAAGGGCTGCTGTACGGTCTATTCACTATAGCCCGTACAGCTCCCGAAGTTGGCCGAGTGGCTCAGTTGAGCCGAAGGCATATGCTTCGGCTCAACTGAGCCGAGGTGAAAGCCGAAGTGGCCGGCTCCAGCCACTTGCAGAGACAGATCGGCGTCCCTGGTTACCACGTAACCAGGGACGCTGATCTGTCATTACACTGAGAACCCGGCTAAAACCGACGTGATATCACGACGGCTCCGCCGAGTTCTCAGTGCGTAATGACAGAACAGCGTCACCTGGTTACTGGGTAACCAGGGACGCTGTTCTTTCATTAGGATAAGAGCTTAGCAGAGCCAGCTTTGATATCAGCGCCGGCTCCAACAAGCTCTCATTGTAATTCACTCACTGCTGAAAGCAGTATTCTCTGATTCCTGGAGAGGGATCCTGATTCCAGGAGGAATGTTACAGTTGGTAATCAAAGAATTAAACCCTTTGTGTGAATTTCTCAGATAAGTTGGTGACAGATTTGCATTAAACTCTCCTAGTTAGACCAGTCCTAAAAAGCAGGCACCAGGATAGTTTTTTTATTTTTTATTTTGTTAAATAAATAAATAAATAAAATACATTTTTATTTTGTTAAATGAAACAAGCAAAGTTAAGGGTGTTATATATCATTTTATGGCAGATTAACACCTACAGTGCCTTTTACCAGTCGCACAATGGAGGAAGACACAAATATTGGTGGATATTTGATTCCAGGAGGTGTAAGTATTTTCACTGTATTCTAAAAGTTTTAAGCTTTCATATAACCATAAGTGGTTAAATGGTAAAGTAACACTATACTCAGGAGATAAACCTTAAAAATGCATTCAAGTACCCTATTAATAAAAATGTAGCTTATTTGTGTATCACTCAGCTATAGATCCTCAAATCATCTCTGAATTGGTGCTGACACTGTCCTTCCTTCTGGAAGGTAGCTACTTTTGTTTCCCATGGTTCCTGTGTGTGTTATAAAGTAGCCACCTCTCCAAACTCACTCCTGTGATAGATTATAACTTCAATACAAATGAGTATATTAAACGAGAGTTTGTAGTCCATCACAAGAGTGAACTTTGAGCAGTGGCTACTTTGCAACACACATACCAATACTTTAGAGCACTGGTTTCAAATTGTTTTTGGATTTGCTCCCATATAGATATAATTGATATCGTAGAGTTGGGGCACAACAACACTTTTGTGTGTTAATTTTAACATTTAAGGAGCTTTGTGAACAGGAGGATAAACACTTTTGAGTTTGTTATATTTTGGGATTGGTAGCTGGTAGCTTTTGAAATAATATGTGAATTGTGTTTGTTGATCAAGAAATGTCCTGGAACGTGCAGGTAAAGTAAAGAAAAACAACAACTAAATCAATATTTAATGTGAGTACCCTATGATTTTAAGGCCTGGTTCACACCTGAGCATTCTTCCGTGCATATCCATATGAGCAGAAAGGTGCAAAACACAAAAAGCAATACATTTTTATGGGGCTTGTTCACACCTGCACGTTTGTATAAGAGTAGACAAACGCAGAACACTGCAAAAAATAGATGCACAATTTTCTGGGTGGTTTTCACGCATTCTGGCTGTTCGTAGCCACAAACGCATGTCTTTTAAAAATTGAAAGTTTTTGTCTGCGTGTACGACCGCACGCAAAAACGCACTGAATTCCAAATGCGCAGGTGTTAATGGAGCCTCAAACAGCATTTCTTTTACTTACTTACTTGTTGATTTGTTCCAAGCATCTTGAAAAACCTGCCATAATTTCACTGCAGACTTTGACTGTCTACTTCTTCTGTGTCTGCAAGTAATCCCAGATTGACTTGTCAAGATCAGGGCTTATTTCCAAATCAAATGGCAAGATACCATGTGGAGGGACTGGCTATTCCCAAGACTCATGCCTTGTTGTTGATCAGTTAACCTGGCTGCCATAACTGTAGACCAATAGTGAGGTGCAAAAAGTGGTAGAAGTTGGACCTGAACTCGCAACCATAAGATCTTATTATATGTATAAGATAGAGCTTTGGGTTTTGAGGGTGCCTAAACAGCATGTGACGGCACATGAAAACCCCCTAAAGGGCTTATTTTTTATGTCTAGGGACTGTTAAGAAGAAAACAAGTGGACTTCCATTTTGTTTTCCAAAATACCTTTACATCTAAAATAAAAGTATTTTAAAACAAGTAACAAACAACTGCTTTTTCATGAGGACCATTTATGTACACAGACTTGATCTATAGCAAATGGGAGTAATAGCCCTTAGTAAATTGGAAAATAGGCAATATCCCAGATAGCAAGGATAACTTACCGCAAACTCGTGGCCGGGTTAAATTGTAATTCTTGTTAACTTGCTGCACACATTCCTGGCAAGTTGTAGACTTGCAGAACACTTGCAGCACAAGTTCTAGTTGACACTTTCTGAATTTGCAGCAAGTCTACAGCAACAGTCCTGCAGCTCTTAGCAAGAGCTCTGCAAGCTCGCTAGTCTGGAGACTTGTAATGCAGACTTGCTGTAATTGTGCAACAAAATTGTGAAGCTTGGCAAGTCATTTTCAAACTTGCAGCAGAATTGCTTGCTATCTGGAATATTATTCAGTAGGTTTAGTGCAGCATAGGCAATGTAGATAAAGAATAGGTCCCACTCTGCTCTGTATACTTGGGATGTCATAAATAGAGACACCATTACCAGACTGGGCACAGCAATGCTGGAAAATCCCTATTTGATCCCTACAAATCTTTAGTATTTATAGAACAATCCTATGAAAATACATACACATAGAAAATATATAAAAAATGTAATTAATTCCTCTAACATGATATTAAAAACGTGATCACAATTCCTGTGCTTACAAATCAAACAAGTCCATCCCACAAAATGTGTTAAGAAGACTGATTCATAAATAACACCTCAAACATGATTGTTCAAATATTGTTCTCAGTTCATATGTGTTACAATTCACAGTAGTTCCAAATCCAATAATACACCGGTGAGTTACAGATGAAACCAACTAGCCCCAGGTAGAATGTGATCTCAGCCCATATGGATTAATGCTCACCTTTGACTTAGACCTATCAAGCAGGTCTCATAATGCAGATCCCGTTTGATACTGGGAGGGATTCCCTGAATGTGGTTCCTTTACGGTTAACTCATGGGGGAGCTGAAAATGGGGGAGCTGAAAATGGGGGAGCTGGGATGACATTTTTTTTCTGTGCTCTGCTGGAATGTGCATATTTTTGGTAAGTATACGGTATGTTTCCAACAACTGTTAAATGTCCAGCTTAAATTGTTCTTATAAGCTTTTGGCACTGTAATTATTTAATTTTTATCTCATGTTAAAGTTTGAGTTATTCAATAACATTTGATTTTTTTTATGTTTATAGGTTACAGCAATGATTAACTTTCACACAATGACATGGAATGAAGATTACTTTCCTGATGCTCGAGAATACAAACCTGAGAGGTGGTTGAAGCCAAGAGCTTCAGTTAACCCTTTCTCAAGCACTCCTTTTGGTGTTGGAAAAAGAATGTGTGTAGGAAGACGTTTGGCAGAGTTGCAGCTTCAGTTGGCTTTGTGTTGGGTAATACTAACTTATGTACATTATTATTATTATAATACAGGATTTATATAGCACAAGCAGTTTGCGCAGCGGTTTACAATAAAAGGAAGACATTACGATACAATTCAAGACTATATGGTAAGGAGGACACTGCCCATGAGAGTTTCAATCTATAAGGGAGGGGCAAGTGATACAAGAGGACGTACCCTGTGGGGGAATTAATTGCTTGCGAAAGTGATAGTTCAGTGATTAGTCTGAGTTGGGATAGGCTTCCCTGAAGAGATGAGTCTTTGAGCATCGCCTAAAGGTAGTCAGAGTAGGAGATAGATGGACCTGTTGGGGTAAGGAGTTCAAGAGGATGGAAGAGATGCTGGAGAAGTTCTGGAGGTAAGTATGGGAGAAGTTGACGTGGGAGCTAGAGAGCAGTAGGTCTTTGGAAGAGCGGAGGGGATAGTTAGGGTGATACTTTGAGACAAGGTTTGAGATATAGCTGGGGGCAGAGTTGTGGATGGCTTTGTAAGTGGTTGTTAATATTTTGAATGTTATCCTATGGGCAACTGGAAGCCAGTGTAGGGATTGACAGAGGGGGGTAGCAAACACTGAGTGGTTGGTTAGGCAGATGAGTCTAGCAGCAGCATTCATGATAGACTGAAGGGGGGATAGCCTGTGTAGAGGTAGGTCATTGAGGAGGGAGTTGCAATAGACAAGATGAGAGATAACAAGGGAGTGAATAAGTAGCTTTGTGGATTCATTGGTGAGGAAGGGGCATATTTTGGAGATGTTACGAAGGTGAAGGCGGCAGGATTTGGATAGTGATTGGATGTGGGGCAGAAAGGTGAGGTCCGAGTGAAGGATGACACATAGCATCTTAGCATGGGGAGAGGGATGCATAGTTGTGTTGTCAATCTCAATGGAAAAGTTGGGGGAAGGTGCATGATTGGGTGTAAATATCATGAGCTCAGTTTTTGAAAGGTTGAGTTTTAAGAAGTGTTGTGACATCCAGACCGATATGTCAGTTAGTAGATTAGTGACACGCAAGGGCACTGAGGGACTGAGTTGTGGAGTAGAAATATATATCTGAGTGTCATTGGCATAGAGATGGTATTCGAAGCCATGTGAAGTTATCAACTGACCAAGGGAGGAGATGTAGATAGAGAAGTGAAGGGGTCCAAGAACAAAGCCTTGGGGAACCCCTACAGAAAGAGGTAGAGGAGAGGAGAAGTTAGATTTATAGGTGGCACTGCAGGAGTGCTTAGATAGGTAGGAGAAGAACCACGAGAGATCATTTGATTATGGTGCTAAAAAATCTTAAATAGCCATAAAATGTATAGCTATATAAATGTAAATATGATATAAGCAGAAGAAGGGTGCGTGTATCTTAGGCACTTACTTATAAAATGTAATGCAAATTGTAATAGATTCACTGACATTCACTGCATATTTTATATAAAGTAGGAGCACTTTAGGGAGAATGTACAGTCTCTATTCAGTGAATGCGCTGCTAATCTTTATAAATGGTGCCAAATATAGAAATTAAGATTTCAGCCTGATTGTCTGTTCTTGGAAATAGTCTTCTCAGACATTATCAGCTTGGTGTGTCAACTGGTGTCTTTATATAAACACTATGCTTCCTCATAATGTTTACATCAGGACTGTAGTGATGTCACAGCACTTCCTGTCAGTATGGAGGCTCAGGCAGAGCTTTATGCAGCCTTTTCTGACAACAGTAGGACATGGCTATAGCAATAGATTACTATTAGAAGTGATCTGCTGCACAGCTGCATGGGTGATCTGGATCTGCTCTCCAATTACCAAAAAAAGTGTGAAAAAGTCACCATCAAGCTAATTTGTTCACTCATGAACCTAACTTAATCTTATCTTAATATTATGCTAACAATTTAAGCAACACGTTGTTCCCTGCATTCACCACAATGTATCATTGAAAGGTGAATAAAGTAAAACGCATATTTTCAATTTGAACTTTATGAACTTTACCATTATGCTATGTTGCAGCCCAGTGGCACTAATGTGATATAATTTTAATGAGCATACAGTACATTATTGATTTTATTTTGTGGTCGATATACACGGGGGGGGCGAAAGTTGGTTAAACATTTTGTTTTACAAATGTTATTACTATTTATTCCCAATAAAAAACAAGGAAATACAAATATATGTATCCACATTTGCTACCAAATGAAGGCCTAAGTGGTTAAGAAAAAGTTATCTAGAGATACAATTGTTTTGAATGCTAATACTGTATATAATATAATACCCATTCTAAAGTAAAGTTAATAATTTTTTCTTATACTTCTGGTTTTTCTAGATAATCCAAAACTTTTACATATGTGCTACCGACAATGAACCTTGCAAAGCCATCATCTCAGGGCTCATGATTCCATCACGTCAACTGCCTGTATCTTTGAAGAAGAGATAGATGCTCTCACAGTTCATATTTTATTGATATGTTTTATGCTATTCTCAGTATTTCTTGAAAAAAATATATAATGATTTAATATCTTTTATCACTGTGCTGCTTTTAAATAAAAGTGTCCTAAACTATTTAATATAGCTCTGCTTACAATTAAACCTATTTTATTTATTTGATAGGCACTTTTCTAAATATTGCTGAATTCTCTACTGTAGTTTGCTATCTTACAGATATGTAATATATATTTAAAGTTTACGTATTAACATTGTTCTATAATATTAACACATGCGGTGATTTCAGCAAATAATGTGGAATTGTTCAAGAAACTTTTGGACGATTTCTTAAGGGACCTTAATATACAGGGGTACGGGTACTCCTAGAATGAGATCCTAATAGGTTGGACTTGATGGACTAATGTCTTTATTCAACCTCAAATACTATGTAACTATGTAACTATGTTTACATGTTATTTTTCAGAAAAAAACCTGCTTTTACATTTGTGTATTTATTGTTTTATATTTTTTTTGCATTGCTTTACTTCATAAATAACACAGAAAAACACAACTGTAAAGTGTTCTTGTCCATAAATAAAAATATAAATATTCCATTGTTTTATATGCAATATTTCAAATTTACCTGATTAAAAAAAAAGAAAAACTTTTAAATTTGACCACAATAAATAAATACATATGTAAACCCATTATATATTACCTTTAACGTGCCACTAATCCTGGTGCTTTCAGGTATTTCTTCAATGATGCACTGATTGGATTAAGTGGTCAATCACCATGCCCGAACACTGTCACATAAAAGAGGGAAGAAAGTGATTAGACTTGTGTTACTTTTACATTAAATGTGTGCCTCAGTATAAACATAATTTGTCACGTCTTTAAGCTCACTATAGTTGAGTGTTTGGCAAAAAAGTGTCTTTGTAGTTACTGCATGTATGATTTTCAAGTTTAGTTAAAATCCACTAGGTGGCAGAGCTGCATTAAGAATAAAATAGAATACTTGAAATGTAATATTATTGTAAATTATATATCTTATCTTGGTGCTCTGCAGTGGCGTTATACAGAGTTCCATAAGAATTCCATACCATGAGCACTTTCATTTATTCTCTATTTTTTTATTATGAAAAGAAATTTGGTTTAAAATTCTCATGGCCTATGGAATTTTGAATATTCATTTTATATGATTTTAAAGACCTGCTAGATTTTCCTCATTGGTCACCTCTGGGTCTCTATGCTTGCCTGTAGCTTTTTCTGCATCCTTTAGAGTCTATGGGATAATTATGCCATCATCAATGTGCAGACATAGGAGCTCACCTGCATGCATGTACAGGACTACTTAAATTGACTAGTAAGATCTTTAAGGAGCATCGGACCACAGAGTCTGATTCTAGCATTTGTTTGGCTCATCAGTGTGATCCTTTGTGTTTTTTGACTTCCCTAAGGCTAAACATGCATGCCCGACCTTGACTGCATTCTGCCTGCTATGTCCATTACTCTGTACCCCAAGTATGTTTTCATAGTGTACCTTTTAACCTCTAGCTTGACCTGCAGTTACTCTTCTGTTAGTCTCTAGGAACCATCTATATCAAGCTGATTTGACCCTTCTTTTGACCTCTGAATAGAATATATTTTATCCTCAGGTACTGTTCCCATCTGTCTGCCAGACATTCAGTTAGTTTCTCATCTGACCCCTGTAGATCTATGGCTACCCTGTTCATTACACTATAAGTACCTGAGGGCATATCAGAAAGGTGGATTTAAAATGTAAAGAGTGGTGCATTTTGACCGCATACTTTTATAATCCAAATAATAATAACAACAATAACAATGATAACATCAATATTTGGATCCACATGTGAAGAATTGCTCTTAGCACAGTACCAATTGTGGGTAATCATATTTCAAAGTTAGGCTTCAGTTCAAAAACTTGTCATATTGAAGCCAGTAAGAGAATTAGACGGTCTACTGGAAGTGTAATTGCTAGCTAACTGGTTAATATTCTTGTTTTGCATGTTTGGGTTCATATCCCACCTGGAACACAATCTGCACGGAGTTTGCATGTGTGTCTAAAAGCCAGCTGAATCCTGCCAGCAGCTTATTTAAAGTGACAATCAGAACTCCCATTAACATCTGTGTTTAACATCCCCCACACTGGATCTAAAGGAGGCTTCAAGCTGCTCGAAGACTGCTGAAGTGTTTGGTACAAGGCCTGCACACTCTTCAGCTTGTTTCTGGAATGATGGCTTTCACGTTAAACAAGTTGCTAGCGAGATTTTGTAAAATCTCATTTTAATTACAACTGAAGCTTGCAGTAAGCGCCCCAACAACAAAATCTGGGCATCTGGCAAACCCACTGCCTGCACAGGGGATCAGGGCCACAATCAGGGGGGTATGGCCAATACCAATGTAAGGGGCATGGGCCCCTACCAGGGGCAGAAATATTGCTGGTGTGGCCACCCCAGGGCTCAAGACTCTGGGGGCCCACTGACAGGGGAGGAGATGAAGGAGGCCAGGGTCCAGCAGCGCTGGTCCAGCGCAGGAGGCTGGGGCCCAGCAGCGCTGGTCCTGTGCATGCTGCGACAGAGGAGGCTGGGGCCCAGCAGCGGCAGGTAAGAGGTGCTGCGTGTGCAGGGAAAGGGACCCTGACCAGCCCACCTAAGACCCTGCAGAGCCCACCATATAGAGTCTCAGATGGGCTGTGCAGGATCTATGGTGGGCTCTTCAGGGTCACTCTCAGGTGGGCTGTGTGGGGTGTCAGGTGAGTTCTGCAGATCTCAAGTGAGCTCTGTGGAGCCTCAGGTGGGTCCTGAATTCAGTGCATTAATATGTCCAGAGTCCAGTGCTTTACAAACTCCAGTCCAGTGCGTTACTAAGTCCTGAGTCCAGTGCATTGCAAAGTCCTTAGTCCAATTCATATACAGTTCTGCATTGCTGTATAATGTAGCTGGGATTTGTTGTCCCCCTACAGCCCGTGCCATTCTGCATTAGAGTGTAAGCTCCACCATACAGAAACGAATGTGACTGGCACAGTGTTCTCAATACATCACTGTGGTATATGTCAGAGCTATATAAATGTATAATAATAGTGTGGGACTGTGGGGGTACCTTAGAGTGTAAGCTCCTCTGGTGCAGAGACCTGCCGGGGGGGTTGGGGGACCAGTGAGATCCTTTCCCACCGTCCCTTTTGTAAGGGGGGCCCAAGATAAAATCTTGCACCAGGGCTCTTTGTTCCTTAGGCCTGCCACTGTGAAGAACGGCAACAAGCTGGTGGTGAAAGCCGAGCTGGAGGTGAAGAAGCTGCAGGAACTGGTCAGGAAGCTAGAGAAGCAGAAAGAGCAGCTCTAGAACAGAGCCAGTGCTGTCAGCAACTGCACTGTCAGCCTACACATGTTTCCGCCGCATCACCCTAATGCAGTGCATCAGCCGGGCACATGTCTATCCCAGCCTGCCGCACTTTGCCTGCCCAGCCTGCTGCCCACTTTTCTCCATGGAAGTCTGGGCTACTTCAACAGCAAGCAGCCCCGGCCTGTTTCAGTGCCACCGAGGGGCCACTAGCTGAACATTCAGAGGCCACCAACGTCTTGGACAAATTGGACATCCTGGACCTGAAGTGAGTAAAGTTTTGTTTATTTTATTTGGCCATTTTTCTGGCTATGGTGCTAGAAACTTTGTATCCTGGACCTGAAGGATGGCTATGACAGTGAAGACGAGGAGTGCTGTTACATGCTAGGTTGAGGCTCTGAGTATTTGTGAACTACAGTTTGTTTACACCATGATAGACTATCAGATCTGAGGCAGGGTCTTAGATATAGGCATGGCAAATTCCATGTCCCCTTAAATGTTTATCTAGAAAATATTATAACTCTTGTAAAAAAATATATTAGAATTCAGTCACTATATAAATGCACTTGGTCACAGTCTAAGGGGTCTATTCACGAAGCTGCTGGAGGATCTGGCCATAGCTTTGGCCGATCCTTCGGCTAGCTTCGGCCCCAGGACCCCTTCGGTTCAGTATTCACAATAGCCAGTACAGCTCCCGAACATGGCCGAGTGGCTCAGTCGAGCCGAACGCATATGCATCGGCCCGGCTGAGCCGTGCTGAAAGCCGAAGCTTCTGACAGCTGGACGTTTTACTATTGGCTATTGCAAATTGAAATAGCCAATAGTAATGTACCAATGCTGTCACTGCTAACTCCGCACAATCGTTTTCTATTGTCAGCCGTACGAGCCTGAAGTGAATAGCCAAACAGTGTTCGGCTCACTTCACTTCAGGTCGGTCATTCACTCGGCTGCCTACGGTAGCTTAGTGAATAGACCCCTAAATGTATTTATACCAACCCCTGAACTCCTGGAAAAATCTTTATTTACTGCAGAAGGTGTGTTATTACACCAGTTGTCAGACACTGTGGTTGATTTACTAAAGGAGCAGCAAATGTTGCTTAGTGAATAAGGTGAAGCTATATTCACTTTCAATAACCAGTCCTGTGCAAGGGAAGTTTAAAAATGGGATATTTGCTTGTTCATAATTGGATGATTGAAGTGAACATAGCTTCAGCTTATTCAATAACACAAGTGAACATTCTTTGTGCAAATTGAACATACATTTTCCAAGATGAACATTTATTTTGCTCAGTGAACAATCTTTTTAGTAAATCAACCACATTGTGTTCATGCCTATAATGAAGATTTGTGCAATTATTGTTCCTGACCGCTGCACTCTGCCTCCTGACCTCTGCACTCTGCACTCAAAAATTTCAAAAGTGTGTCAGTCATTTACGAACAGAAACAAAAAACAAGCTCAGTCATGAAGGGGTTAAAGCAGACAGATTCAGAGTAACACAATTGAGGAACTGAGAGTCACATAACATGCAGATAGATGCTGTCAAATATATATATTATATTATCTAATGAATATATTACACAAGCAAAACTTTATATGGCAACACCAGGTAACCATATCACATTGAATTTTTTGACACTTTTGGAAAATTACAGTAGCTGCAGTTTTAATTCTTGTTAACAAC